TAGGGAAAGGAAAGAATGGGCAGAGAGGGATGAGGCATGTGAGGTGCGTCGCAGAGCTCACTATTAGAATACAACTGAACTGAATGAAAAATTCTGGCTCTGCCTTAAGCAAATGACTTAACTTTTGCGGTCTCAGTTTTCTTATCTGTAAGCCTGGATGATCACACCTTACAGAGTTATTTTGAGAATCAAATGAAATATGGATGTTTATGCCTGGTACATGGTAGGCACTCAACAAATGTAACTATATTATTAAATAGAGGGAAGAGCAGTGATATGAGAACGAGACAAACAAGTGAACATAAGGGTATGGAAAGAGAATACCCAGTGAGAAAAACTATTTTTCATTTCAACTGGCCCCATAAAGGATATTCAGAATGTTTTAGCACATTGCTCTTTTGAAGTATAACATTTATCTGGGTGTGTACATTCTGGTATGTTTGTGAAACATTCAGTCTGGCTGATTTGTATTCATACCACAAATGCAAACCTATAAAATGGCACATAAAAGGAAACTGTAGAATGGTAGCACTGGCTATAGACCCTGTTAGGAGGCAGATGTGGGGATATGGCTGGGGGCGGGGTACAGGCCTTTGATTTCATGCCTTCAGGATCAAAGCAGGACCCATCTCAGTCAACAGCCTTTTGAAGTGAAGCAACAATGTGGCGAGGAATTAACAAAATGAATTCAGTGCAAACAGGAAAAGGTTTGTGCTTTTTAAAGGCAAGTACACCTTGCAAGGCATAAGAGTTTTCACGAGCTGTCAAGTTAAAAGAGCCTGAATACTTTATTTCCAAATACAGATGAACCAACTTGATCTCTAATACTTAGGTTTATTAAGGTTAAATTTATAATGAGAATAAGAGAGCAGTATATAGATCAATCTGTCAAAAAGCCCCAAGTTTCTCTGATATCCTCTTCAAGCATGCATACCAAAATCTCTCCAAAGAAGCTGTTCTGAATTCCTTGACCTCGATGAAGAATAACCTTGAGATTATTGTGATATAACAGAATTTTAGACCTAAAAGGTCATTTTAAATCATCCTGTTCAGCTATTTTCAATTTTACTCATTTGTAAACCATCCTCATGTATTTTGCCATATCTGCATACCACTTGTCCTTTCTTTCCACCTTAAAATTAACTCACTTTTTTTTACTTTGATAAATTTAACTTTATCTCAGTAAAATCACATGTTTCATGTGTTAGTTAAAATTTTTTCAAGCACATGTTAAAATAAACACATAATTAGTCAAAAAATGTTCCCCCCGTGCCACCTACAGTCACCGCACATTCGGAAACACTGGTCTAGTTTAAATCTTTCATTTTGCCAATGGAGGAAGTTAAGGCCCAAAGAGTTTAACTGATTCAGGCAAGAACTCTCACAGCTTCATCAGTGAGACACCCAGGCCCAGACTAAGCCTGTTCTTCATATGTCAATATTTTCACAAGGCAGGAATGAAATGATAAACATTGGAATTTTAAAGCATGCCCTCACTACTATAACACAGTTGGCACTCTTTTGTGATTGGTTACTTGCTTCCCTGGCACTTTAAAAACCTGAAACAATAGAGTGTGCAAATGCATTGGGAGGAGCACTGGTATTACAGTGTCTCTTGAACTTGAGTACTGTGTGGGTCCTCTATATAGAAAAACAATTCTCAAGGATCTCAGTGTTGATTTGTATTATTTCTAGCACAGTGTTACTTAATCTGTATAATCTTAAATCTAGGTATGAATTCCTTATATACAGCTAATATACAATTTTAAAACCAAAGCAAATTCACAGATTAGATTTAAACAAAACTACAAGCTCAGTAACTCTAATTAGCAAAATTAATTGACATGACAAAGGATCTTATTTTGCTAATCTAAATCACAGCTTGAAATGTAAAATGCAACTCATTTCTCTGGGTAGGGTTTTTTTGGTTTGGCCTGGCTCTACTTTGATGTGTGGGTTTATGACCTGGTTATCTTGCTGCTTTTCTCTTCTTCAAACTACCACAGAATGTTCATCTGGACTCTGTGTTGTGATATTATTTGGCCTTCACTTGGCTCAAACTTCAGATAAAACCAGATATAAGCCCTGAAATAACGAGACTGTACTTTGGTTGTAAGATGGTCATCCAGATGATTATCATTGCAAATAAACCAAAAAGACTTTAACATTTCTCACAGAAATTTCCAGATCCCTATGGGTCCACAGATCTGAGTTTTAGAAACACTGACAGAGTTGAAGGACTTAACCTTCTGGCAGAAGGCTGGGTTTCTAGTTTTGCTCTGCCCTCTGCTGGCTGTGTGGCTTGGGCAAACCCTTGTTTACATATCTATAAAATGAAGGCATTAAAAAAAAAAAATGAAGGCATTAATTTAGAACAGTGGTCCCTTCCAACCCTAAAGTTCTAAGCTTCTATAGCTATGTAGAATAAATAATTGGGTATAAGATATAAGGAAAGCTCTTGAAATATGTTTTAAAACATTTCTTTAAATGTTTAAAACATTTGTTTTTGTATTAACTTTATATTATATTCATATTAAGGTCCATCATTTAGACTTGGTGAATTTTCCCAAAACAAAACCTGTATAAGAATTGCCTGTACTTTCTTAGCACCAGCAAAGTGGGGGTGTTTTTATTTTTAGAATCGTTCTGTATCCAGTTAAAACAATTTTTTTCCAAATATACTTCGATTCCAAACACATCAGTCAAAAGAACAAAGTGATTTGGGCTTTTTGAAAAAAATCTTCATGTATAAAACAAGAAGAGTTCAGTAAAGAAGCAATGTAGGAGGGAAAACATGAATGATTCTGAATTAAGAAAACTTGCTTCAAAATATTGGGAAAAGCATTTATTTAGAAGGAATGAATTCTAGGGCAAGAACTACAGACTACTTTTGAAATAAGCTTGGTTAAAGTTCCATGAAGTCTGATCTACATCAAGAGTAATCACCTATCTTTCAATCTCTATTTTTTATTCTTAGGCCTTCTTGCAATTGCTTTGCTTCTTTTGAAAAAGAGAGAAAGGGTACAAATTCCTGTGGGAATCATCATAATATCTGGCTGGGGGTAAGTTGGTAGCTTTCTGTTTGCTTACATGTTCCCACATACACAGTTACTATTCGTCCTCTCTTTTCTCTCGCTCTTTTTTTCTCTCCCTCTAAACTCTTGTTATTATAGGATTCCTGCTCTCCTTGTTGGTATTCTTTTGATAACTGGAAAACATAATGGAGACAGCATTGACTCAGCCTTCTTTTATGGAAAAGAGCAGGTGAGAAGAGTTTATTGACAGTTCTGTTCTTGAGAATGTCTCTCTTTAGCTTCTTAATGTGTTTTGCTATACTTAAATTAAAATTAATTTTGAAAGTCTATTCCAGTTTATTGCCTATCACACTGGTGATCCTATGTCACTTTGTTAACTCACACCTCAAAATGCAGTAAAGATTTTACATGTCTATAAAAAGGAAAATTGAAAAAAAAGGTTTCACATGTTTAAGTCTGTTTGTAGCTGAGGATTTCCAAATATTTGAAACTTAACTGGGTCTTCTTAAGCATACTTATGAACTATGTTCCCTTTATTGGAGGAAAGGGTGATTAATTTAAAGCCATTTAATAAGTTAGCAGTAATAATAAAAGCCAAGTTCTTGACTTTCAATTGTATCATACATATAAATTTCAGAACAAAAAGTATTTGGGGAAAAAGTGTGCTTGAAAAGCTATTGAGTACGAGGCTTCTGGGACCTGCTGAATCAGAAATTCCCAAGGATTTTTGTGGGGGGTTTTTTTTGTTGTTTTTTGTTTTTTTTTTTTTAAAGAAGATGTTGGGGGTAGGAGTTTATTAATTAATTTATTTATTTTTGCTGTGTTGGGTCTTCGTTTCTGTGTGAGGGCTTTCGTGGCAAGCGGGGGCCACTCTTCACCGCGGTGCACGGGCCTCTCACTGTCGCGGCCTCTCTTGTTGCGGAGCACAGGCTCCAGACACGCAGGCTCAGTAGTTGTGGCTCACGGGCCTAGTTGCTCCGCGGCATGTGGGATCCTCCCAGACCAGGGCTCGAACCCGTGTCCCCTGCATTAGCAGGCAGATTCTCAACCACTGCACCACCAGGGAAGCCCGTGTTTTGTTTTTTTTTTAATTGAAGTATAGTTTGGTCTACAGTATTACATTAGTTTCAAGTGTATAACATAGTGATTCAATATTTTTATAGATTGTACTCCATTTAAAGTTATTACAAAATGATGGCTGTATTTCCCTGTGCTGTACAATATACCCTTGTTGCTTATCTATTTATACGCAGTAGTTTGTATCTCTTAATTCCACATCCCTACCTTGCCCCTCCCAAAGATGTGTTTTTTAAGACCTTCCTAAAATGATTTTGATTTCTTACCCTTTTTTTCTGTTTTGTAATTTTGAATTTTATTGGATTGTTGTGAGAATAAATAAGATTATACATATAAATGACTTAGACTAGTGCTGGCATATAGGTAGTACTCAATAAGTATTAGCTATAGTTACTTATTTTTAGTATTATCACCATAACAAAGTTTCTAGTTGAAATACACTTGAACTGTGTACTAAAGCAAGCAAAATCTTTGAAGCAAAGAAAAAGTCTATAAGTAATCATTTAGATTATTTGTAGAGGAAACCAAGGACATGATGCATAGTGAAAGAAGCGTCTAGAAATCTCATTTGATTACAAGCAAACCCTAATTTCTCTTCAAGTAACTTACATTCCTTCCATACTCTTCCTCTTTTTTTTTTTTTTTTTTTTTTTTTGCGTTACACGGGCCTCTCACTGTTGTGGCCTCTCCCCTTGCGGAGCACAGGCTCCGGACGAGCAGGCTCAGCGGCAATGGCCCACAGCCCCAGCCGCTCCGCAGCATGTGGGATCCTCCCAGACCGGGGCACGAACCCGTGTCCCCTGCATCGGCAGGCGGACTCTAAACCACTGCCATACTCTTCCTCTTTTTTTAAGAACTACTGTTGTAGAGCATTTATAGCTATGGAGATAACGCATTTTCAACCAAAAAAGTGCCCTTAACCTCGTCTACTAAGATTTCAAGCTGGGACTGTGAAAAGTGGCCTAACGTCTCTTTGCAACGTTGACAGATGATCATCACAGCGGTCACCCTGTTCTGCAGCATTGTGATAGCCAGCGTATCACTCATGTGTATGTACCGCACCTCCCAAGCAGGACGCTATGAAGGTTTCGACCAGTCTCAAGACCACAAAGCAGCAGAGCCTGGAAGCACTGCTTTTGAGGATAGTCCAGTGCCGATAAATGAACCTGAACCTTTTACAAGTTCTATCCCAGCAACAAGTATGATCCTTAATTATAAAGAAATTCTTACATGCCTATATAGCCTGTATCCTAAATGTTTTTAAGGAAACTTCCTTGAACTATCTTGAATATCACAGGTATTTATGAAATGAGGAATTTGAATCATAGTCAACAATAGAAAGAGCTTGCAAGTTCATTTATTAGATTCTTGTTTATAAATCTTTTGTGAGGATAATCTTTTTTTAAATCCTAAGACTTCCTTGGTCCTGAGAGTTTAGAGAAGAGTAACAACTGAAGGAAGCCCCTTTCTAGGAAACTAAGCACCTGTGTCTGTTAATTTAACAACACTGTATCAGGTAAGCACCACCAATGAAATGAGCTAAAGAGGCTTGATTGAAGCAGGGTTAATGGTGAAAGTTGGGAGTTGGCAAACTACAGTGGGCCATCTGTTTCTGCATGTTTCAAGAGCTAAGAATAGCTTGTACATTTTTAAAGAGTTGAAGAAAAAATTTTAAAAGACAAATATTTTATGACACTTGAAAGTTATATGAAATTTAATTTCAGTGTCCATCACATGTTATTGGAACATAGCCATGCTTATTTATTTATATATTGCCTGTGGATGCTTTCACGCTATATTGGTAGAGTTGAGTCGTTCAACAGAGATTCAATGGACTGCAAAGCCTAAAATATTTATTATCTGGCCCTTTATAGAAAATGTTCAGCAATCCTTGGTATAAGTGAAAATATGACCCTAACCAGTGACTTTGTTAATGTGTTAACGGTTATCGGGTTTGCTTCAATTCGTGAAGGGAACTCAGAAATAGAGTATGCATTTTGGATTCATTGGTGCATGTGGAGATTTCATAGACATAGACCACCGTGCTAGGAAGTATAAATGATGGTACCTATGTTGTTTAGAGAGGGTGTGGAGTAGAGAGATGACTAATCTTAAAACTATTAGTTGTAAATAGCAATAAGTAAAGAAGAAAGAGCAAACATAAATCTCTTTTTAAAAAGAGACTTTTAAAAGCATTTTAACTAACTTCAAAGGAAGAAGATCCCACAAATCTCACTGTCTCACATTTGCCTTCCTTCCTCTCTCCTGTCCTTCCTCCCAAACTGGAAGTAGATGGCATGGGGGTTAGAAACACGGATCTGGAGCCAGTCTGCCTGGGTTCAAATGTGACTCTACAATTTACTATTATTTGGTCTTAGGCAGGTTCTCTGTGCCTTGGTTTCCATATTTAATGCTGCTAATACCAACTACATAGGACTGCGTGTTCCCACTACATAGGACTGTAGTTTGCCAACTAGTGATTTACATTAACCCTGCTTCAGTCAGGCCTCCTTTAGTTCATTTTATTGGTGGTGCTCACTAATTTCTTTGTCAGATCCTTTGTGATTATATCATCATAATTTCATTCTTTTGAGGCCTCTTGACTATTTTCCCTTTTAAAACAGAAGTTCAAGGATTATGTGTATGCTTTCACTAAGATTTTAAAAGCCACTTTTCTGAAGTCTCGAGTACTTTTCTGATCATGCCCAGCATCCTTTCCTTCCTCGCTTTCTTTGTGTACTCTCACATTTATCCTATAAATCCATCTACTTTATGTTTTCAGACAGGGCGTAAAGACCACCACTCTCTACATCTTGTTCTCCTGCGAGGGTTTTAGAACTGGCCACCAAAGGCCTGTGAACATGTGTGGGGAGTCCTAAACTGAGTGTCTTAAGCCCGGAGACTTCTGCTATGTCTCTACTGTCCTTTAAAAATAGCAAATAAACAGTACCATAGATGTTCTTTAAATCCTGTCATCGTCATCTCTAGCAGGAAAACTGGCTTGCACCTTTTGTACAAATAAATGGAGAGCCAGAAGACAGCTATGGCTTATCTCAATAGAAAACCTTCTGCAGTGTTTATACTTCCCTCTCCTCTTATCTCACTGCTTTATAATTGCTTTTTAAATTTTCAGTATAACCCACTAGAGTGTAAGTGCTGTGACTGACTTGCCCATCATTAAAGCCTCAGCACCTAGCATGGTATCAGGCTTCCTATACATGTTTAGTAATATTTGTTAAATGAATGGATAGATGCATGTGTCGATAAGATGTGCCATGATTTTCTGAAGCTACCCTGAAAACTCCTGTGGCAAAGCACTTGTTTATTTGCCTATTCACCCATGTTCCTAGGAAAAAGGTTTTTAAACCTGTCTGGTTATTTTCCTTCCCTAAAGCCTGCTCTCTTCTGCTTTGCTAGTATTAACACATAACACATTAGATGTCCAGCCTGGCCTCCCCAAATCTCAATAATCCAAAATAGTTCACTCCCTTCTGCCCCTCGCTACACATTTGTCAGAGACACATGATTTGCTTACACTCTAAGTGTGGAATTATAATTGAAAGGAAAATTAACCTATTTTAATATGAGAGCAAAGGTTCGGTTAATAAAAGAGAAGGCCGTATCATCTCTCTTATATATGGAATCTTAAAAAAAAAAAAAACGAAAAACAAGCTCATAGATTCTGAAAACAAGGTTCGTGGCTGCCAGAGTCAGGGAGTAGAGGGTAGGAAAAATGGGTGAAGGGGATCAAAGGGTAAAATTAAAAAGTAATAAATAAGTATGGTGTATTACTGAGCAACATACAAACATACATACATAAATGAGAAGGCTAATGGGGCACTTACACATCCTTCTTACATTTGAAGGGAAAAACTGCCATATGTGTGTATTCCCTATACATATGTCATTGGAATGGGGTGGCTTTATATCTGTTTTCTTAACAATTTTATCTTAGTGAATTTAAGCCTTTAAATTTCTGAAGGTAAGAGGGCAGGGCCAGCTGATTTCTGTATTTTCTTTTCGATTATTCTGTGGCATCGTTATCTTAAATTTAGAAAGAGGGCTTCCCTGGTGGCACAGTGGTTGGGAGTTTGCCTGCCAATGCAGGGGACACGGGTTCGAGCCCTGGTCCGGGAAGATCCCACATGCCACAGAGCAACTAAGCCCGTGAACCACAACTACTGAGCCTGCCCTCTAGAGCCTGCAAGCCACAACTACTGAGCCCACACGCCACAACTACTGAAGCCCATGTGCCTAGAGCCCCATGCACCGCAACAAGAGAAGCCACCGCAGCGAGAAGCCTGCGCACTGCAACGAAGAGTAGCCCCCGCTCCCTGCAACTAGAGAAAGCCCTCTTGCAGCAACGAAAACCCAACGCAGCCAAAAATAAATTAATTAAAATAAATAAATTTTTAAAAAATTTAGAAAGACATTTGTAATAGCTTATTATATAGTCTTTATACTTTGAAATCTTTTTGTTTTGTTTTTAAGAACACTACTGAAAAATTAAAGCACATTATCAATGAAAGGTTCAGCCTATGGATTATTCCTTTTTAGTACATTAAGTTTTAATACAGTTTATCACTGAAGTTATTCTATTATAATCCATGTCAAGGAGCACCGTGTCCATATATATGAGATGTTTTAAAGGACACTGCTTGCAGTTCTCTGACTATATAGAGGTAAAATTACAGCTCTATAGCAGATGTCTCAGTATGACTTGTGTAAACCAATTTACCTATAAACCAGCAGGAGGCTTTCAGCAGTATATATCTAAAAATAAAAAAAGAATACAACTGCTTTTACTGCATCTTCTAAACTAGTAGGAAACATGTTCTTGAAAGAAGTGAGTTTTGAGCTAAACTTAGAGGAGGAGAGGGTTTGGATGAAATCTATGTCAAATTAGGCCGGGAGGCTCAAACATGAAGTTTGTGGAGGACAACTAGAGAATTGTCCTGAAAGGAGGGAAGGGCCTTTGTTGAAAGTGGGAGTGGTTGGATAGGGGGAGAGGGGCCGAATCCTAGAGCGCTTTCAAATTCAGGCTAAGGGGTTTGAATTAGCTGCAGTTAGCAATAGAGCATTAGTGCATGTTTTCAAGGAGAGATGAAATCAAAGCTGTATTTTAGGAAAGTGGTCAAATTCTTATTTCCCAAAGCACAGTGGAAACTAATAAAACAGCATGGCTAAAAACATTTTCCTTAAAAAAAAAAAATTAATTATGGGAATTCCCTGAGGGTCCAAAAAAGATATCAGCTGGAGAACAAACAAACAAAAACATTTTCCTTGTCTCACACAAAGAAGAGACAATATGTAAAAGACTGATTCTTTGTCTGCCACTCTTTAAATGTTAGCTTCTCTATAAGCACATTTGAATACTTTTTTGTGTGTGTGTGTGTGTGTACGCGGGCCTCCCACTGCTGTGGCCTCTCCCGTTGCGGAGCACAGGCTCCAGACACGCAGGCTCAGCGGCCATGGCTCACGGGCCCAGCCGCTCCGCGGCATGTGGGATCTTCCCGGACCGGGGCACGAACCTGCGTCCCCTGCATTGGCAGGCAGACTCTCAACCACTGCGCCACCAGGGAAGCCCCTGAATACTTTTTGATAGATACCCATACAATGTGGCTGTATGGAAAATGTGTGTGTGTGTATGAATGAGTTTGGGGTTTTTTTTTTGTTTGGGGGGGTTTGGTTTGTTCTACTTGGCACCTCTTCATGCTGTCCATTCCTGTTGTGCTTGGACTCTTCCCTCACATGGTATTTTGTCTATATAGGTTGCTGCTCCTGCTCCATGGGAAATGGTGAATTATGCTGCCCATCCACAGAACCAGTAGCAAACATAAGCAACAGTGGCTCTGTGACTCCCTCGTTTGAGGAAAGTGAGTGCCTCTGGCAGGGAGCTCAGCTCCGTGCTCTGTGATGACCTAGATGGGTGGGATAGGGTGGGTAGGAGGGAGGTCCAAGATGGAGGGGACGTATATATACATATAGCTGATTCACTTCATTGTACAGCAGAGACTAACACATCATTGTAAAGCAATTATACTCCAATAAAAAAATATATAAATATATATTAAAAGAAAGAAAGAAAGAAAAGTAAGTGCATGTGGGCTATGAGGATGGGCCTAAGGAACAAAAGATTCCTTATTCTTATGCTTTAAAAGAACTCTATATAGAATTTCTATAGAAGCTACTGTTTGAGAATATTCTCAAAGAAAGTACAAATAGTATAATAATTGTGCATAGATAGGGTACTGATTTTTAATTTGCGTGGAAATTTTCCAATAAATTTAACCCAAGTGATAATTCCAAGAAGTTTGCATTATTTTTGGGGGGCTCTTGTTTTAAAAGCTGAGACTTTTCCCTCACGCCATTCCCCCAGGGCCAGGACTAATTAGTTAGTGCTTAATTACATTTTGAATCCATGTGCTTTAAAATATGCCCTTTCTTATAAAATAAGAAAAATCTTTACAAGTAATAACCTTTTGGCATATAGACTAAGAGACTAAATCACATTTATGGTCTGAATTCCAAATTATTTAAGACAGCTGAATACATTTATGTGAAATTGCAGTGTACCTTCAGTTGATCATGCTTATTTTTAATCAAAGTAGAAAGGGAAACCCTAAAAAGTCCTCTTTATGATGGAGCGTACGTCAACTGTTTTGCTGTCATTATGTTTTTACATAAGAAATGTTGTGAGGATTATAAGAAATGATGTGTGCAAATCACTTAGCACAGTGTATACAAACTAAATGCTTATTAAACATAGTAGCAGCAGCAGTAGTTGTTATTATTCAGGCGGGATTTATACTTGACTGCTTTCTGCTGGCTAGGAATGAATCTTAAATAGTAGAATTCATATTTCCATAGAAAGAAGTAAAAATACATCAGATGTTGAGCCTTCACTGACTTTCAATAGGAAACCCCTCCTGGCACTCAGATACATGTGTTTCAAGTTTTGTGTGCCTCTTTTCTAAAGCTAATATTTCTTTACATCAGAATTCCCAAGGGTTTGCCTTGCCTTTTCTTCCCTATACAGTATACCTAATAGTAAAGTCCATTAGCAAACTCAACCTGTGATTTGATTCAACAACTTTTTTTACCCCCCCAAATCCCCTTACAATTTGCTTATCTATCATTTCTCCATTAATAATGCTGATTCCTGAAAAATTTTTTGAATTATAGGGGCTTCTTAGATTTTCTGATCATATTTTACAAAAATTATATAGAATGAGAGCCATCATATAAGGACTTCATCTGCCCACATAATTTAGTACCATTCCTAAGCCTGAAATAAAGTCTAAAGGAAGTCAAACCATGGACAAATGAGAATTTTTAGAGTTTAACAATGTGATTAATTCCTTGTCGCCAAAACACTGACACACCACAAAGGCAAAATAAATATCTCAATGTGTAAAAAAGGCAAATAAAAGATAGTAAAATTTATTTTTATCCATTTTTATAATACTTCTACATAATGTTTTAAGACCAGGTTTATTATATATACTGCTAGAATTTTTCTACACCAATATGTACCCAAATAATTGTTATAAAATAGGATCATACTACAGAAACTGTTTGGCAGCCTAGTTTCTTCTTACTTTTTTTTTTTTTTTTTTAATAAATTTATTTATTTATTTTTGGCTGTGTTGGGTCTTCGTTTCTGTGCGAGGGCTTTCTCCAGTTGCGGCGAGTGAAGGCCACTCTTCATCACGGTGCGCGCGGGCCGCTCACTGTCACGGCCTCTCCCGTTGTGGAGCACAGGCTCCAGACGCGCAGGCTCAGTAGTTGTGGCTCACGGGCTTAGTTGCTCCGCGGCATGTGGGATCTTCCCAGACCAGGGCTCAAACCCATGTCCCCTGCATTGGCAGGCAGATTCTCAACCACTGCGCCACCAGGGAAGCCCTCTTCTTACTTTTAACTTACTTTTATTGTGAACATTCACCTATGCCATTAGCTATTGTGCCAGACCATATTTAATGGTTGTATATGTTCTTTTCTAAGAAGAGGCTTTAGGAAGTATAAATTTTTGTTCGCTTAAAGGTAAGAGCTATAAAGTTGTGTTTTTTAATCTCTGACTTTTTGTAATAAGACTGTATGTTAGACTAGCATCTATTTTGTAAAAATGTTTTCCCCTGCATTTGATGCCTTAGATATAGTGGAGCTGAGGTGGGAGAATAAAGGTTTCTTGTGAAAGGCCCCTCACTTCTCTTTTAGGCCAGAGAAGAGTCATGTTGTGATTTGGACTTACTTCCATATGCGAACAGAACAAAGTGTATAGTATTTTTTATGTGGTTCCTTAAAGGTCTTTTCTAAGGCAAATTTTAAACTCTTTAATGAAAGGCAAGTGGTAGTAGTAAATTTGTTTTGCTCTTAGCCAAAATAGGGTATTCGTGACCTATTTACACCAAGGTGTAGATTTTTACATTTTTACAAAATTACCCCAAGGTGTAGATTTATCACAGGTGAAACTTGAGTTATTAATTTAGCCTTAAAAAAGTGTGTGTGTGTGTGTGTGTGTATGTGTGTTACACTGTTAAATAACGTAGAAGAGAACTATTGCGTACTACTTGTATTTTGGGGGGATAAAAACATTCTACAAGTAGAACTCTCCTAAAACAACATGGAGGAGACTTCCTTGGATTTCAACTAAAATAAAATACTGATTCTGAGCTGCATGTGCATATGTGGTGGTTTGTTTAGGAAGTCATTATGAATTTAAAATGCATTCAGATAAAAAGCTCTGATTACAAATTATTGTACTTACTGTTTTATAGATGAACATTGTGTGAGTCGCTGTAACTCCCAGAGCTGCATATTAGCCCAGGAAGAGGAGCAGTATCTACAAAGTGGAGACCGGCAACTGACTCGACATGTGTTTTTGTGTTTACTTCTCATTATTGGCCTGTTTGCTGTAAATGTTTCTTCTGATTTTGTTTTGGGGCCATTTCTTTAAATGTTTGGCAAAGGCTTTCTTCAGGCATCTGGAGAAACTTAGTTGCTCCTTCACAGGGGGGTGGCAGTTCGACCATCTGAATCCTAATCTTGAGCTAAATGTTTTTTGGGGGAAAAAAGAATGAATAATTCACATCACTCTGTTGCCTAAGTGCTTCAATGGCTTATTTTGCTTAGAATACTTACTCATCCTATGCCTTGAACCTAGAATTGGGGGTAAAACCAGGCATCTCCATGATGTGTACAGGACCACTTACTCCTAACATATTCCTTGACTGACTTCTGTGGATAAATGACTACATGGTCTCTCAGAAGATAGTCCTCAGATAAATAAACTTTTAGAAATAATTTTATATTATGAAAATAACATAACCACTTCATAAAATGGATACTTAAAAATAGAGAAAAGAGGAAAAATATCCATCATACTACTGCCTTCTCTTTTTTAATACATTTTTCATGGTTCTAATAATACATTCAGATTTATGTCTTGCTTTGTGACTTATGTCAAGCACTTTCATATTGCTGCAAAGTGTTCATAACCGTTACTTTAAATGGCTCCTCAATAAACCATAGAGGAGAAGCATTATAATTCACTCAACCACTTCCTCGTGGATCTATGGATCGTTCCTAGTTTTTCAGAATGCTCTAATAAACATCTCCGTGAAATATATTTCCTTATGATAGATTCTCAAAATTGGGAAACCTGGGTCAAAGAGTATAAATATTTTTGTGCCTTTGGATGCATTCTACTAAGTTGTTTTCCAAAGGAGCAGTATGGGTCTGTAAAGTACTCTCACCAAATTGAATATTATAAATTTTTTATTTGATAATTTTATAAGTGAAATATAGCACTTCATTTTTTAAATGCATTTCTTTGATTACTAAAGGGTTTTTAAAAAATTAGTTCTATGTCCTCTTCAGTGAATTACCAGTTATTATATACTTCTTTGTGATAGTTCAAGTGTAACTTGCCTAGCGATGGGAGATGGACCATATAACCCATGAAGAAACCCCCTTACCCTTTCCAAACTGGGGTGCTCATTACATTGAATCATATCAGCCAGCACCATTTTAACTGCTGTTTAAGAACAAAAATCAAGAAGTAAGAAATGCAGCCAAGAATTGCTGCTCGGTGATGTGATTGTTTTCACTGTGTAAAACTAATTTTAAAATCAGAACTGTCTTCGGCTAGTCGAAGTCCTGATATATTATGTAAGCTTCTGTATTATGGCTCATGTCTTCTTGCTTCAAATCTGATCAGAATAGATGCTGCCTGAATGACATCTGTCAAGAAGAGAGGCTGAAACCTCTTGTTTGAAAGACAAAGCCTCTATATTCTCTTGGTGTTTTTCCCTTTAGTTCTTTTCTTCCTAATTATTAAGTAGATAAGTTATTGTACTATGTTCTGGATAGAGAGAAATGATTAGCTTGCTTCATTTTAAAGTACTATTTTCTCCTTCCTTTACAGAATCTTTCCAGTTGTTTATGGTGGCTATTCAACCAAGAGCCTGGGAGACTATATGTTGAGTTACAGTTTTTCTGTGCTGTGTTTAACTTTGGCCAGGTATTTATTTACTGAGAACTTTGAGGGGGTTTTTGTTTTCCTGGATGGTTTGATGGTGGGGGTGGGGGGATGGTACGGATGTTGTTGTTTTCTTTTAAATCAAAAGGGTTTAGTTTGTTTGCCAGCTGCTGGTATGCGTGACAGCTGACAGCTGCTGCCTATCTCCTAGTAGAGATGAATTATTATATTGGTTAAAGTCATCAGAATGCACACTGAGTGTTTCAATCAGAAATACCAAATAGTTTTTTGCTTTGGTTTTGAGATAAAGAATGATAATTTAGCAGGGACAAGACGTTCCAAGTTCTTTTTAAACTTTGTTGTGGCCTTAATAAGTTACTTTGGCAAAATGACTTAACTTCTCTGAGCTTTTAGTTTAGCAACTTATTTTAATGCACATCATTTCATTTACATTTTGATGTTTCTTGAACTACAGGTACTTAAATCCTTTAAAAAAAATCATGTGGTATATAAATAAAATTTGACCAGGGATAGTGGATACCATTCCTTGAGAGTTTACTATATGCCAAACATTTTTAAGCATTTTACATTAATTATTTCATTTAAACATCACAAGAATATCTGCAAAGTAGACTTGTCACCCCCAGTTTAAAAATTAGAAATTAAAATTCCATGAAGAACTAATATGATAGGTGCTGTTGTCTTTGTTTATGTCACTATTAAAATGGATATTTAAGGGTAAATGATATTTTAGATATTGGGAAAATATTTTGATGTGAAAATTTAAAAATTTTATTGTCTTCAATCCCTTACTTTTTTTTTTTAAAGATTTTTTTTTTTTTGATGTGCCCCATTTTTTTTTTAAGTCTTTATTGAATTTGTTACAATATTGCTTCTGTTCCATGTCTTGGTCCCTTGGCCACAAGCATGTGGGATCCTAGCTCCCCGACCAGGGATCAAGCCTGCACCCCCTACATTGGAAGGCGAAGTCTTAACCACAACCCTTACTTTTTAATTAGAGAATATTAGTCCCAAGATTAATTATCAGGTTGAAAAAACTACAGTACTTGAAATCATTGCGCTTGCCTATTAAACCCGAAATAATTGGCCATAAACATTTATAAGTAGACGCTCTTGCAAGTTTTTCCCTAATGTTAATTTCTTGAAATATTTCCAGTTTGCTTTGCCTTTATTATGGGAGCAAAAATGGCTATATTTAGACAGACAAGTGACCTATCAGTTTATTATAGACAGACATGAGCATCCCGGGGCTAACTGATGCCCACCTCACTCTGTGATACTGTCCAAGATTTGATTTTGTACCCAAGAACTATAAAATACTAGGTTGAAAATCTTAGTCTTACTCAGCATTTTGCATTCAGAAAGCCCACTCCAAGCTGAGCCATCCCAGGACTGGGACTGACAAAGCTTCACAAACAGAAGCTAATGCCAGGAATGTTGCATTTGAAATATTGTCCCCACAGCTTATGGCTGAAGTGCTTCAAAGGAGGGAGACAGATACAAAACCTGCTCCCATTCCATTTTTCTCTTGGGGAGCTGTAGTAAGATCATACCCTTTAGGTGGTTTATAATTTGAGGTGAAGACAGGTAGGTCCTTCATGTCATTGCATTTTCCATCCCACCCACACCAACCTGCTCTAAAATCCTTACCCCACTGTGCCTGACAGATGGCAGTTCCCAGCCTCCCATCTCCCCAAGGCAGTCCTGATTGTCCTGATACGTGGCTAATATCTGGTGCTAGTTTGCCTCATCACTCCCAAATTCTTCAAACCCTTTCCCTAAACACTAGCCAATTTCATTTCACATAAATTTTTTCAGTTACTTCATTATAATCAGAACCTATAGCACTTGTTAATTCTATAATTTCTGAAGTTTTAACAGAAAAATAATAAAGAAGTACTTAAGCATAATGGGAGATATTTTATTTTCTTTTTAGAAAGGGGAAAAAAATCATATAGCCCTTAAATGTTTTCATTTTTCTCCAGTAAGCTAGCTTGCCAATGTGGTTGTTCAGCACTCACTTTTTTCACCCATCATAATTAGTAGGAAAGATGATTGGGAAGAGGTAGCCAAGGACCATACAATCATCCCTCAGTATCTGAGGGGGACTGGTTCCAGGACACCCCTCAGCTACTAAAATCCATGGATGCTCAAGTCCTTCATATAAAATGGCACAGTATTTGCATATGACCTATGCATGTCCTCCTGTATATTTTAAATCATCTCTAGGTTAGTTACATCACCTTAATTGCTATGTAAATACTTGCCAGTATGGGGCAAATTCAAGTTTTGCTTTTTGGAACTTTCTGGAATTTTTTTCCCAAATATTTTCAATCCACGGTAGGTTAAATCCATGGATATGGAATCTGTGGATACAGAGGATTGACTGTACCTGCCATCAGGCACTAAAATTTAGAGGTACTGCCTGTGTGTTCTATTTAAAATGTTGCTCTAGTCACTAGTGGTTTACTTCCCCAGGCACTAAATATTTTGGCTTCCATCATTTCTCTGTCTTAAAATTTATTTTAGAACTCATAAAATATAACTTTTTTTTCTTCCATAGGGATTTATTTCCTTTGGCATCTTTGGATTGGACAAACATTTAATCATCCTACCCTTCAAAAGAAGGTACTTTGAGTTTTGAAATAAAGCTGTAACTGTAAAGGTGATGACAAAGCCATTCTATTAAGATACTTATATTTTTAAACCTTTAGAAACTACTAGGAAACCACAGAAAGGTTATCTGCTGATTCGCATATTTGTTGTAAATAATTGCAGAGAAAATGACAGAAGAGCTGTCATTAATCCAACATTTTAATTTGTATTTGAACAAGAATTGATGGACACTGACTTCTATCTATGCCATTAACTACATAAAGTAAAATGAAACTTGAAAATGTATTTAGAAATGGAAATAGTAGGTGATGTGCCCCCAAAGGTCTATATTTGATTGTCTTTCTTGTTTGACAACAGGATTTCTCTTTCTGTCAAACAGACAATTTATAGAAAACTCAAGTTTTCTTCTTTCTAAATTTTAATTTTTTTTAATTAACTTGGTGAAGAGTTTCTTTGAATTCAGATCAGGAATTTCTTTATGAAAAATAATGAAATGAGAACACTTCACCTTGGGGGTGGGAGGAAGTGGTGGAGGTAGAGGGGTGAATCTGTACTTCCTCATTTGTCTTCAAAGTCAAAATTAGTAGAAACTAGAAGTGCTAGTAGAATTTATCCTATTGCCTATATTAAAAGTGCCCAGTAAATGGTCCCTGGGCATTTAGCAACTAAAATATAGTTGCTAGGGTCACGGTCCTTTCATGAAAGAAGAAAAGCATAATAGGAAAGTCACTGCACTTAGTTATTAGCTTCATAATGTTGATTGGTTAAAAGAGTCAACAGATCTATTGTCTGGGCTGGCAAAACAGAATTGTTTTGTACTCCAGGTCCCACTATTTGTCTCTCTTGTACCAAAATCGGAAAATGATTAAATAATATACTTGATCTCTATACGTTATTTTTTGTTTTAAAACAGTAGAATGTAGAATGAGAAACTTCATTTTTTGGTAGTTACTGAAATGGGTCCAGCATGTCTGGAGGGTTTATAAAATGTTCAAGTCCCCCACCCCAGCCACCAAATGCAGGTTAAATATGTTTCTGCTTCAGAGACTAAGGATGTCTGGGTGTTGTAGATGACAGCAGTGGTGAGTGACAGTTTTGGAACAGCCGTGTTGATGGGGTGATAAGCAAGAAGGGGCTCTCTCTCAGGGCTTTTCTTTACTTAAAAATTGCATCCTTAAATTTTGGTTTTTAGACTTGAATTCCTATGGAACAATAAAGAAACAGCAGAAAATAGGGATTCTTCTGTTCCTGAGGAAATAAAAATGACCTGTCAACAGTTTATCCATTATCACCGTGACCTCTGTATCCAAAACATTGTGAAGGAAAGAAGGTAAGTACAGGTTCTAGATAATTATATTTTAGATGATTAATTTTGGCTTGTAATAAGCTAAGTAATGTGCTTGTGACTAACTTTATTATTGTTATTTTCAATAACACATATACACATAAAAGTTAAAATAGCTATGGGTCAGTTTATAGTTTAAGAAACAGCATATATAGGAGCCATAACACTTTGATATTTACATTTTTAAATGCCATATAACTTCTGATTTCCATGTAAAACATGAAAACTTTAGAATGAACCAAAATGTAGCAGAATATGAACATTCACTTCATGTTGGCCATTAGTACCTCTCAAAAACCTTTGAGATACATTGTATTTAGAAGTGATTTTATATTCCCCATCTCCTAGGAGTATGCTAGTCGTATGCTATTTCATATTACTAATGATATTGTTAAGAAAATGAAATGAAATTTCTATCTCTTAATTAATTCTGCTGCTTATTTTTCACCTCAAGTCCTAATCTTCAGTCTGTGGCAGCATGTTTATTCTTCTAATCCTGTATGGAGTATACAGCAGGAAAAGAATAAACAAATGTTTTAGTGCCAATATTTTTTGGTTGTCAAAAAAAGAGAAAAAAACAAAACATGATATTAAGAATACTTTTATGTCTATAACTGAAAAATTGAAAATTTATGAAAATTACCATTCAGAATATTTACAAATATTATGCCACTATATTTCATTATAACTGGAGGTATCCTGGTATAGCTCGTGGAAAGGGGACTCACTGGGTGGGGACTAATACTAGAACTCAATTACTGGATCTGCCACTTATTAGCTCTGTGACATTGGGCAAGTTGAAGTCTCTAAACCTTAGTTTTCCTCTTCTTTAAAATACCTGGCTCTTGGGGTTGTTGGCATTAGATAACAAAATCTATATGATGCGCCTAGCCCAGTTTCTGGAAATGGTAAGCTATGAAAAAAAATGAGTTTCCCACCCTTAAAGGCCCAAACACAATTATTTCAAAGTACCATCTATGGATAGTTTCAACAATTTAAAATGCTTTTTAAAATTTAAAAAAAGGAACTCTGTGTTACCTCCACCAGGCCCACTGTGATTGCCGACTGGCATAGCTCTTTGCCATTTGCAGGGCTATCAGGCTGCCTCCGTCCCAGATGGCAAATGGGCACAGGCTGGTGATGGTACTGCTCTGCATCATGCATAGTGGCTAATCCTCTGCCACTCTGCACAACTCCGTGGGCTGTGGTTGTAGCTGCCTGATCAGTCATCAGGAAGCAAATATTAATCAGTTGGTGTCTGGATTAGAAGGTGTAGGGCTATAAATTTAAAATCAACGAGGAGGAAAAAGGCTCAGGCTCCGGGTGTATCATTCAGGCTTTTGTTTAAAGTGATGTTCGTAGTTGCAAAGCATAAATTAAGATATCCTATTACTAAGTAAAATACTGATATTACAATATTGTGATTTTGTGTACTTGAGAAATTTTTTCATGCATATTAACCTCTTCTAATTTTTATATGAAACGCTAATGTACATTCATTTGTGGTTAAATGCTTTAAAATTTTTGTCGCCTATTTCTCATTTCGTCTTGATGTTCATCCACTATTTCCTATTGTCAAGCACTTTAGGTTTTGCAGCTTAACTAATGCTCGTGGACAGATGCATGTTGTCTATTGCATACTTGCATAAAAATGAACAGAATCTACTTAATTTGTTTTTTTACATTTCTTTTTCCCTTGTTTTTTTATTCATACCTGAGGCACCCTCACATTTGCATGAGGAAGACAAATTTTAAATAATTAGGAAGCAGATTTATTATCAAAAATTTTTTAAATCTGAGGAATCTGGGATTTCCCTGGCAGTCCAGTGATTAAGACTCCACACTGGGGCTTCCCTGGTGGCACAATGATTAAGAATCCACCTGCCAATGCAGGGGACACGGGTTTGAGCCCTGGTTCGGGAAGATCCCACATGCCACGGAGCAACTAAGCCCGTGCACCACAACTACTGAGCCTGCGCTCTAGAGCCCGCGAGCCACAACTCCTGAGCCCACATGCCACAACTACTGAAGCCCACGTGCCCAGAGCCTGTGCTCCGCAACAAGAGAAGCCCCTGCAATGAGAGGCCTGTGTACCACAACGAAGAGTAGCCCCCGCTTGCCGCAACTAGAGAAAGCCCGCCTGCAGCAACGAAGACCCAACGCAGTCAAAAATAAGTAAAATAAATAAATTTATTTTTTTAAAAAGTCTCCGCACTTCCAGTGCAGGGGGTGTGGGTTTAATCCCTGGCCTGGGAACTAATATCCCACAAGCCATGCAGCATGGCCAAAAAAAATCTGAGGAATCTTATGGAAATTCCTCAAAAAATTAAAAATAGTACCATATGATCCAGCAGTTCCATTCCTGAGTATTGACCCAAAGGAAATAAAAAACACTGATTAGAAAAGATATGTGCTCCCCTTTGTTCATTGCAGTATTATTTACAATAGGCAACATATAGAAGAAACCTAAGTGCCCCTCAGTAGATGAATGGATAAAGAAGATGGGGTATATATATACAATGGAATATCACCCAGCCACAAAAAAAGAATGAAATCCTGCCATCTGCGACAAGGTGGATGGACCTAGAGGGCAATATACTAAGTGAAATAAGTCAGACAGAGAAAGACAAACACTGTATGATTTCGCTTATATGTGGAATCTAAAAAAACAAAACAAATGAACAGACATAACAAAACAGAAACAGAGTCATAGATACAGAGAACAAACAAGTGGTTGCCAGAGGGGAGGAGGTTGGGGGGAAGAAAGAATTAGGTGATGGAGATTAAGAGGTACAGACTTCCAGTTGTAAAATAGATGCATCACAGGGGTGAAATGTACAGTGTGGGGAATATAGTCAACAACTATGAAAAACAAATCTTAGATTTATAGCAAGACAGATCTCACTTACCCTTTGCCTGCTTCTTTTTTTTTAATAGTCTTTCTTTTTTAATTTTTATTATTTTTGGCTGCATTGGGTCTTCGTTGTTGAGCGTGGGTTTTCTCTAGTTGCGGCGAGCAGGGGCTACTCTTCGTTGCAGTGTTCAGGCTTCTCACTGTGGTGGCTTCTCTTATTGCGGAGCACGGGCTCTAGGCGCACGGGCTTCAGTGGCTGTGGCATGCAGCTTCAGTAGTTGTGGCTCGTGGGCTCTAGAGCACAGGCTCAGTAGTTGTGGCTCATGGGCTTAGTTGCTCCGCGGCATGTGGGATCTTCCCGGGCCAGGGCTGGAACGCATGTCCCCTGCATTATCAGGCAGGTTCTTAACCACTGTGCAACCAGGGAAGCCCTGCCTGCTTCTTAATGGAGCAAATTCCTAACATATCAGTAAGATTATCTTGCTCAGGGCATGAAGAAAGGTATTGTGATGAGCAGAAAATAAGAAGTTTGATTTCAGTAATTTAGTAAAAATTGTCACTTCTTAAGAGCTTGCAAAAATATTATTTAATGCTCCTGAGACAATTAAATTATTTAACTGAGTATAACTTATAAAATATATAATTGCTATCTACAGAATGCATCTGACCATAAAAGACCATCTACTCTAAAAAGAATATTTCTTTGTTGATGCACTTACATTATCGAAGTCATTTGTTTTAGGTGTTTCTGCTTTCACAAGCATTATTGGCCTATTTTGTTTTTCTCTGGTGGGTCTTTCTAGGTTCAGGTAATTTAATAAACCCTTTATATTCAGAATAGTTTCATCCCTGCCACCTTTTAACTGTCATGCTGTCTTTCCCTGTCTCCTTCTATTTTTCTTTGCTTGTCCTCCATCATGCAGTGCTGATACCAGATTTACAGAACATATGGGTGAATCATTCCTTTGACATACAGGTGTGGTGCAAAGACTTCTGTCGGGACCTTCTGTGGCTGTGACCTCGTGAGCTGGCTAATTGAAGTTGGCCTTGCCTCCGACCGTGGTGAAGCTGTGATATATGGAGATAAACTGGTGCAAGGGGGAGTCATCCAACATATCACCAACAATTATGAATTTCGGGATGAGTACTTGTTTTACAGATTTCTTCAAAAGAGTCCTGAACAGAGTCCTCCTGCTATTAATGCAAACATTCCCCAACAGGAAAGATACAAAGAAATTGAGCATTCATCCCCATCCCTTAAGACCTAAGTTATAAAGGAGACAAGCCCACATGGAGTCGTATCTAGCCCCAGATCTGTTACTTATTAGTTAGGGGACCTTGGGCAAATCACAACCTCTCTGAGCCTCAGTTGCCTCTTCTGTAAAATTTGACAAGACATGTTCCCACCCCATGCTAATATTCTGTGATTTCATGTGTATGTAAAACACACAGGAAACTGACTTAGAAAAAAGAGAAACAAATCAAAATTTAAAGTTCTGATAATGAATATAATAATTACTATAAACTATGCCAATATTTTAAAACATTGCTTCCTGCAGTTGCGTGCTGTAATTTCAAAATCAATATCCAATTTACTGTTCTTTCAAATTGCCAAATTTGGCAGCTGGGAGGACCAGTTTGCACTTATTGATAGCACTTCCTAAAAAAGATTTCATTGATTCTTATGAGAGGCCTTCTTATTCTATTTTTCCATTCCCTTGAAAAATAGTACTCATTAAAAACTAGAAGCACTTTTTTAAAAAACAAGTGCTTCATCTCCTCTTGATTTTCTATCCAACATACTAATCTGTGCCATTAGGAGGGAAATAAGAACCTCCATAAATATTATTATCTCTAAAATTCATCAACAGAAGTATAGTCTAACCTTTAGCTTTTGTACTAAAAGTCATAATTTGAGCAGATCCATTTAAATTTATCAGAAAAATTATTGCTATGTGATATATCATTTCTGGTGTTTGCACAAAGCATCTCTGTGCAGAAGGACAGAGATTACCTTATTACCTATTACCTTATTCCCTGCAGTTAAAGAGAAGAAAAAACTATGTAATTCAAGCCAAGATTTTAAAGTTCTATGCCTAACATCCTATTTTTACATTTACAATTTAGTTTTTTTAATTGTCCATGTATAAAGATTTATAAATTTGAAAATTACTAAATGTTGCCCTCTACTTAATTATTAGCTGTTAGTACTGGTTTAACTTATTTAAAACCGTTTCAAATATTTATTTGTCTCATACTTTTAGTGTCTTATATGTAAAAGCCATTTAGAAAATAATTTATAGGGTTAAATCATTGCCCTTTTAATGCAACAAAAATGTAATTAAAAAAAAAAACCTGCATGGAAGCCTAGTGTACTTAACAAGTAAATTACACGTTAGTGTGTAGTATTAACCTATACCAATTTTAAGTTACAACTAGGGAATGGGGTTTTTCGGCAGAACTGTCTGCTACATAACTTAAAATATATATATATGACCACATTATTATAACTCTTAGAATCCTCAGGAGTAAGCATAAAGCCTCATTGCTGTACCAGGAGAATTTTATAGTTACAGCAATAAAGATATTAATTCATATGCATGCAAGAAACTCAAACTCAAGTGGGGAATTTGTTTTGCTTGTGAACAAGTCATACTACACATGTTCTGTTATTTGCGTGACAGGAATTGGCAGCATCTTTTTCCATGGAAGACACTAAAAGAAAACCCTGACTCAGAATGATCTGCAGTTTCAGATAATGAAAGCTTTTAAGAGATGTTTTTAGAATTAAGGATATGCTAATTTTATTAAATAAAAATATTTGTAACTTTTACTCACTCACTGACAAAGCAAGTTTCTCAATAAAATATCTATTTTAACTTGCAGTGCCAACGTCTTTTCTTTGAGTAATCTGAATAATGCAGAAGCCATCAGAGAGATCTTTTCTATAGGTTTTCAATGTTTCCTTAAATGGGTCTCCTGAGATTGTTCTATTCTTCATGACCCTATGGGATCTGTGCACAAGGCCTTGCGCAATTATGCACTCAGTAAACACATTTTATTCATGAGTCAATATGACATTAGAGTCCTCACATAGTTCATAATTTTTAATATGCAGGGTCACAGATGAGAAAATTATCCAATACTGTTTTGATTAAAATCTACCCCTTTTATACCAATCTTCAGCATGGTCAATTGTTCTTTTTCTTTGTTCTCAATGAGTAATTCCATGCCTAACTTGTATTTAAATTTCAGTATTTTTAGAATAAGGTAAACTGTGCGTGGCATTTTAGGAATAACGATTAATGATCAGTCAGCTTCTAAAAGCAAAAAACAATGTAAAACTATTATGTTACATTTGCTATGCAGTAGAATACAGCTTGGTTTTTGCCCCATCATACCTCATATCATGTAAAATATTAAATTACTTTAGATCACTAAACTAGGTAATGAAGTAATGAGTTATGGTTGGAAACAGTTCAGATCAGAAATGTTACCACCATTTTTCAGGAAATGATGGGATGATAAATTTCTACAGTTGTTATGATAAAAGCCTAAAATCAATTAAAAAGGGAAAACACTAACCCTGTTGAACCTATTTGGGAGCAAATTTTACAAATAGGAACTAGATTTCCAAAATTCTAGACTGCAAAGTTATTTCTAGGGCAAATTTTTTTATTGAAAATTAATATGTAAATGGATGTTTTCATCAAAGATCAAACTAGCTTTCTCTAAATTACTCAGTTTATTAGATTATTCCCTTGGTTTATTATGTAATGGTAAGTAATAAACCACATCAGCTAAGGATTGACTAAAAAAAACCTTAAATTTCAGCTACTATATTTTTTTCCCATAGTTTTAACACCTTTATTAAATCTAATAACTTTTTTTTTTTTTTTTGTGGTACGTGGGCCTCTCACTGTTGTGGCCTCTCCCGTTGCAGAGCACAGGCTCCGGACGCGCAGGCTCAGCGGCCATGGCTCACAGGCTCAGCCACTCCACAGCATGCGGGATCTTCCCGGACCGGGGCACGAACCCGTGTCCTCTGCATCAGCAGGCGGACTCAACCATTGCACCACCAGGGAAGCCCTAAATCTAATAACTTTCATAAAGAGCCTGGCACACCTTAGGGAATCATGAGCTTATTAAATATTAGCTAACCTCATTTTATGACCAGACCTCTCTTTTCCTGTTACTCTTTTATCAACTGTTATTATTTCTTTTAACATCTTTATTGGAGTATAATTGCTCTACAATGGTGTGTTAGTTTCTGCTTTATAACAAAGTGAATCAGCTGTACGTATACCTATATCCCCATATCTCCTCCCTCTTGCGTCTCCCTCCCACTCTCCCTACCCCACCCTTCTAAGTGGACACAAAGCATCGAACTGAACTCTCTGTGCTATGCAGCTGCTTCCCACTAGCTATTTTACATTTGGTAGTGTATATATGTCCACGCCACTCTCTCACTTCGTCCCAGCTTACCCTTCCCCCTCCCCGTGTCCTCAAGTCCGGTCTCTACGTCTGCGTCTTTATTCCTCTCCTCCTCCTAGGTTCTTCAGAACATTTTTTTTTTTTAGATTCCATATATATGTGTTAGCATACAGTATCTATATATATATTTTTTTTCTCTTTCTTACTTACTTCACTCTGTATGACAGTCTCTAGGTCCATCCACCTCACTACAAATAACTCAATTTTGTTTATTTTTATGGCTAATATTCCATTGTATATATGTGCCACATCTTTACCCATTCATCTGTCAATGGGCACTTAGGTTGTTTCCATCTCCAGGCTATTGTAAATAGAGCTGCAATGAACATTGTGGTACATGACTCTTTTAGAATTGTGGTTTTCTCAGGGTATATGCCCAGTAGTGGGATTGCTGGGTCATATGGTAGTTCCATTTTTAGTTTTTTAAGGAACCTCCATACTGTTCTCCACAGGGGCTGTATCAATTTACATTCCCACCAACAGTGCAGGAGGGTTCCCTTTTCTCCACACCCTCTCCAGCATTTAATGTTTGTAGATTTTTCGATGATGGCCATTCTGACTGGTGTGAGGTGATAACTCATTTTAGTTTTGATTTGCATTTCTCTAATGATTAGTGTTGTTGAGCATCCTTTCATGTGTTGGTTGGTAATCTGTATATTTTCTTTGGAGAAATGTCTGTTTAGGTGTCCTGCCCATTTTTGGATTGGGTTTCTTGTTTTTTTGATATTGAGCTGCATGAGCTGCTTGTAAATTTTGGAGATTAATCCATTGTCAGTTGCTTCATTTGCAAATATTTTCTCCCATTCTGAGGGTTGTCTTTTCGTCTTGTTTATGGTTTCCTTTGGTGTGCAAAAGCTTTTAAGTTCCATTAGGTCCCATTTGTTTATTTTTGTTTCTATTTGCATTTCTCTAGGAGGTGGGTCAAAAAGGATCTTGCTGTGATTTATGTCATAGAGTGTCCTGCCTATGTTTTCCTCTAAGAGTTTTATAGTGTCCGGTCTTGCATTTAGGTTTCTAGTCCATTTTGACTTTATTTTTGTGTATGGTGTTAGGAAGGGTTCTAATTTCATTCTTTTACATGTAGCTGTCCAGTTTTCCCAGCACAACTTATTGAAGAGGATGTCTTTTCTTCATTGTATATTCTTGCCAACTTTATCAAAGATAAGGTGACCATATGTGCATGGGTTTATCTCAGGGCTTTCTATCCTGCTCCATTGATCTATATTTCTGTTTTTGTGCCAGTACCATACTGTCTTGATTACTGTAGCTTTGTAGTATAGTCTGAAGTGTGGGAGCCTGATTCCTCCAGCTCCATTTTTCTTTCTCAGGATTGCTTTGGCTATTCGGGGTCTTTTGTGTTTCCATACAAATTGTGCAATTTTTTGTTCTAGTTCTGTGAAAAAATGCCATTGGTAATTTGATAGGGATTGCATTGAATCTGTAGATTACTTTGGGTAGTATAGTCATTTTCACAATGTTGATTCTAACAATCCAAGAACATGGTATATCTCTCCATCTGTTTGTGCCATCTTTAATTTCTTTCATCAGTGTCTTATAGTCTTCTGCATACAGGTCTTTTGTCTCCTTAGGTAGGTTTATTCCTAGGTATTTTATTCTTTTTGTTGCAATGGTAAATGGGAGCGTTTTCTTGATTTCATTTTCAGATTTTTCATCCTTACTGTATAGGAATGCAAGAGATTTCTGTGCATTAATTTTGTATCCTGCTACTTTACCAAATTCATTGATTAGCTCTAGTAGTTTTCTGGTAGCATCTTTAGGATTCTCTGTGTATAGTATCATGTCATCTGCAAACAGTGACAGCTTTACTTCTTCTTTTCCGATTTGGATTCCTTTTATTTCCTTTTCTTCTCTGATTGCTGTGGCTAAAACTTCCAAAACTATGTTGAATAAGAGTGGTGAGAGTGGGCAGCCTTGTCTTGTTCCTGATCTTAGTGGAAATGCTTTCAGTTTTTCACCATTGAGGACAATGTTGGCTGTGGGTTTGTCATATATGGCCTTT